AAAGTGTGCCAGCCTTGCCCTGCAATGTCAGTCTGTGCCAACCTTTTCCAGTGTTCTGACCTGTGACAGGTGATATCCACCTATACAAAGTGATACCAGACTGTGCCAACCTGTATCAGTTCATGTCAGGGATGTCCACCAATCCCAAACATGTGCAAAGCAATGCCAGTTTATACCAGTTTTGCCAACTTATGCTCAATGGTGTCAGCTGTGCTCAGTGATACCAGTCTATGTTCCCAGTTTTGCAAACCTATTCCAAGTGATACCAATACATTCCAGATGGTGTCAACCTGTGTCAACCAGTACCAGCCTGTGCCTGGTGGTGCTAGTCTGTCCCCAGCCCCTCTCTACAATCTGTCTCCTCCTGTCTTTTGCAATGCAGGGAACTGCCTGTGGGATCTGGCCAAGTCTTTCCTCCATTCTGGGTCTGTTTCCTCATCTACACAATGGAAGACAGGCTCCCAATGGGAACAAAGACCATGATAAAATTTGGGAGGAATCTTGCCCGAGCTGGAGGGATGTTGATCAACCTCTGGAGATTTTTCTCCTGAGATAAAGATAACCTCTCTTTTTTAGTAGGTACATCCAGTTTTCAGCTGCCCAATATTAAGCAGAGACACCAAACAAGTAGGGTTGACTGTTCTCTGTGGCCCCACCAAGAGAGCGGCCTCCATGGTTCTGGAGAGCAGAGCCTGTTCTCAGAGCTGGCCCAGCGCTGGCACTGGAGTGAGGACAGAGCAGGACTCTGGGTCGCTGGGGTTCTGACCCCACCTCCACCTGCAGGTGCAGAGAGCAATGCCCAGAGGGACAGGGACAGGGGCCATGCTGTCAGTCTCCACTAATGTCTGCTCCAGAATGGCGTTCAGCTCATCTATGGTCTTGAAAACAATTCCCTCTATACCCCAGGGCCTAAACATGCTATTTAGTAGTGGGTGGGGTATGTGGCCCTCGGTTCTCAGAGAAGGCCCCTGACACCCCTCTCAAGGCAAACCTTTTCCGCCTTCCTTCCTCCTTCCAGAGCCAGTGTTGCTTCAGCAGGTGGGGACCCAAAGGAGACATTGGGATCAAACACTCCTCCTAGTTCCCCACCCGTCCCCCTCAGAACAGAACCCCGTGATGTCAGCACTCACCCCCACTGAAAACTCCAGTAATGTGGCCTCAACTCACCCAATTAGGGGTCATTCCTCCCAGAAAATTCTTCCCCCATCCCTGCCCTTCACTTACTTTTCCTTTTCTTTTCTTTAAAAAAATGCTTTTGTTTGTCTTTATTGGGGACCACATTCAGGCTGTGCTCAGGATTTAATCCTAACTCTGCTCAGGGATCACTGCTGATGGTGCTTGAGATTCAAACTGGGGTCAGCCACATACAAGGCAGTGTCTTGCCCCTAGACTATTTCTCTGGTCACCTACCTTTTTTTTTTTTCTGGTTAACTGTCATACTGAAATAGAACTTGTGGACCAAAAGGAGAACATATTGTTAAGTATTCTGCTCAATTCCTTTTCACAAATTAAACATACCACTAAGAAACCACTAAGGCTGGAGTGATAACACAGCGGGAAGGGCATTTGCCTTGCACGCAGCTAACATGGCCAACCCGAGTTCGATTTCTCCGCCCCTCTCGGGGAGCCCGGCAAGCTACCGAGAGTATCTCGCCCTCACGGCAAAGCCTGGCAAGCTACCCATGACTTATTCAATATGCCAAACACAAACAACAAAGTCTCATGATGGAGATGTCACTGGGCCCACTCGAGCAAATCGATGAATAATGGGAGGACCGTGACCATTACTAAGAAACCATCAATAGGACCAAGAAGTGACTACCCTCACAGGGGTTGGAGAAATAGTTCAGCACACGGAGTGTTCACCTTGCATGCTGCTAACCCAGCTTTTTTTTCCTGCTTTTTGGGTGACACCCAGCAATGCCCAGGGGTTACTCCTGATTCTGCACTCAGGAATTACTCCTGGCAGTGCTCAGGGGACCATATGGGATGCTAGGAATCGAACCCGGGTCAGCTGCGTGCAAGGCAAATGCCCTACCCGCTGAACTATCACTCCGGCCCACTAACCCAGCTCTGAACCCCTGCAGTCCCCTGAGCCCAACCAGAAGTGATCTCTGAGCTCAGATCCAGCAGTAATCCTGGAACACTGTCGGGTGTGGATCCCCCAAAAGAAAATTTAAAAATTGCTAGTCCCAGAAAACTAAATTAAACTCTTCAGTCGCCCTCAGCTCATACCTACCCTGGTCCTCCCTTCCCTGTCCTCCCTATCCTGCCCCTTCCACCATGAATGCCATTACTAAAGAAAGTCTGGAACATACCAAAAAGGTAAAGGCAAAAGAAAAAGAAGCAAAATGAGTGGTGACTGTTGCTCAGGACCAATTGTGGCTCTAGTTTGGCCATGGCACTCGTTTGGTCACAATTTAACACTTTCTGTCCCTTGGTTTTTTGAGGGAGAGGTGGAGTGCATACCTGGTGCTCAGGGTTTACTTCTGGCTTTGCACTTAGGGTTCACTCCTGTCAGGCTCAGAGAACCATATGGGGTATCAGGGATCAAACCCAGGTTGGTCACATGTAAGGCAAACGCCCTCCCGCTGTACTATCACTCTGTCTCTTTAGAACAAGGCTTCTTAAACATTTCCCTCTCAAAACTCCTTCTTGCCAGAGAAAGGCAACATGGGCAAACACTGTCAGAAGCACTTCAGATTCAGGACGTGGTGGATTTTGAATTCAAGTTTGATGGTTGCTCATGCAGAAAACTTTTACTATTGCCAAATTTTTTGTGACCCCAAATTTAGTTACATGATTGAGGTCATACCCAGTCTAAGCAGCTTCACTTTCGACATCTTTGAGTTTTAGGCATGTGATTTCCATGGAGATCTGGTCATACTCTCTCTATATAATTTCCTGTCTGCCCTTTTCAAGTTCTTAAGCCACATTAGCATTTTCCCAACTACTGGTGACAATAGACCTTTCCCTGTTTTAGTAGCTCCACTTATATTTGGCCATTTACCCCTCCCCACATCCACATGGGGAGGGGGGATGTAAATCCTATTATTATGCTAATTTTGTGGACAGTGGAACCAAGTCTCAGAAATCTAGAGTCTCCTAAGATGACACAGTTCCTAAGTGGCAGCGCTGGAATTCGAACCAGAAGTTCACCTCAGACCCACTACACTCAGTTGTCCGCAGCACAAGGTGTTGAGGGCTAGACTCTCCAGGCAGGATTGTTCTGTGCATGGAGTCTGTCTTTACTCTCCCCTCCAGTAACCTTGGGGTGAGGCTATTGGCAGGACTGTAGGTCACACATCACAAAGTGTTTTTGGAGTCTCCAAGACTGAGGGATGCACATTTTGAAGGTTCCTGCTCCAAGTGCACCCATGACCTCAATGGTCTGTGTCGTGTCCCTCCCGCCGCTGATGCTGAAGAATGAAGGCTCCTGCTTTGCAAACGGTACAGGGATGCCTGGACAGAATCACAGAGAGCTGTGGTCTCTCTGAACCCTCTCCCTATTTCCTCCCCTCAGTGCTTCTTCTGGACCACACTTGGCCTGCTGAGGGTCTTCCTTGGTTCTGGGTGACCTTATGATGCCAGGATAGAAGCCTGCACTCCAACCCTTCTGAGCGTCTCCCTGCCCACAAGGGATTCTTTTTCAAGAAACCACCAACAAAGCAAGGGTGCTGATCTCCACGAGAAAGTTCAGCCCACTGGGGTCCAACTCCAACAAGGGGAAAACAGGCAGCTCATGACCACAGTAAGGGGTCCCTTGGGGGACTGTTGTGCAAAGTGAAGGATAATGCAGGGTTGCCTGACAGACCTTGCAGGGGGGTGGGTCACTTCTCTCAATGCCCCTGAAAGGAGCCCAGGGCCTGGGAAGTGTGAATGGGCAGGAATGCCTCATTCATAGAGACACAGGATGAGAACTGGGGTCGGGAAGAAATCTCTTCAGAACCCACAAAACAGACCATGAGGGAAGGCGAAAGCCAGTCTATTGCAACCTTTTTCCAACCGTGACCTCCCCCTCCCAAACTTGCTTATTTCCTGTGGCCCCCATGTCCTACCAGTTGGTCCCATTCCATGACCTGCCTTGATGAGATGTTTCACCTGTAGTCCCCTGGAGGTAAAAATCCTGGAGGCCCACAGTGGGCCATAGGGTTTTCAGTTGAGAAATGCTGTTGTAAGCTTTGATCATCTGCCAGGCTCAAGGAGAATGAAGTCATAGGTCAAACCTAACTGCACCATCCCCCTACTTTTCCACTCCCTCAGTTCTGCCCAGCCAGGGAGAGAATGTCTAGGAGCCAAACGTGGTACTGGGGGAGAGCCTTAGACCTGGGTGGTCTAAGGCTGCCCTGGTAGCTTCCAACCTCCTATGAGGCCTCTCTTTACTGGGCCAAGCCTCAATCCTAACAACTCAGGGAACCTTCCAGCAGCTCTCAGGGAACCTTGTACTGCTCTGAATTCCCCTATCATGGCTGCTTCCTGACTCATTGCCCCAAGTGCATGGTGAGTTGGTGAAGGCCGTGACCCTCTCGCTCCTGCTCCTCTGGGCCTTCACAGCCAAGAGTCTGCCACCGAAGGGCGTTTCCTGCCAGACTCAGGATTTGTGAGGAAAGATGGGGTATGCTGAAGAGAGACAGGACAGAGCAGCGGGGAGAAGGGAGACCTGAGAGCCATTAAATCTTTACCAAGAGGAAACGGGGGGCGGGGAGCAGGAGGACCTGTACCACAGCTCTGTGCCAGTTGAGCACTGACTGTTCACTCCTCTGAGCTCCAACTGAATAGGCATTGCAGCCGGAAACAGCTTTTAAGAGCCAAAACCATCTATTGTGACCTGTCACCCGACGGCAGACACAATGCCAGTCACCATTTCTCCCGCCCCAGCACCTGCTGATAAGGACTGAAGGAAGGAAGATAAAAATGGGACTGCCCAGTGCTCTCAGGCCAACAGCTGCCCCGTGGACAACGCCACAGCCTGTGCCCAAGGCCTGAGCGGCTACCAGAATATGAACTGGATTCTGCACCTGAGCGTCATCCTCTGCCTAATGGGGCTCACGGCTCTGGGTAAGCTCCCATCCTTCCCTCAGGGCTCAGACGCGGGATGCAAGGCATAGGGGCAGGTCCTGGGGGCAGCTAAGGTATAAAAAAAGGTCTGAGTAGATGTGGGACAGAGTTTCTGTGTACTGATCCAGCCACCAGGTGGGAATCTGAGCACTTCTGTTCTTACAAAACAGAGCCGATAATTCATACTACTCTGTTTCTAGCTTGATTTTATATTTATAGGTTTTATACAATGACTATAATATAAAATGAGTATAGTATTTCTTGTATGCATACATGTACATATATGTATTTCTGAGTCAAAGATACAGAGATGTATCTACCTTCTGCAACCATGAGCCAGATCAAAACTTTCCCAGCATGCCACATGCCCCTTTGCAGTTAATATCATCAAGGTAACCACAATTCTGACTTCTATTATAAAAAAAAATCTATACATTAAATTTTTTATTTCAGTAAAATATGGCTAAAATTACTATTAACATATTGCACATAAAACCACTACTAAATGTATTCTCGTTTAGTTTGGGGGCCACATCCAGTGATGCCTAAAGCCCTCTCTTTAATCACTCCTGGCAATGCTCAGGGAACTATACAGGATGCCAGGGATCCAACAAGGCAAACACTCTACCAACTGTGCTATTGCTCCAGCCCTATTAACATATTCTTTTTGGTGCAGATTTCACATAGCTGTGACAGCAGCATATGGTCTATGTTATACTCTGCTTTTGTTTTGTTTTGTTTTAACCTAAAATCTTATCATCAGGAGTTTGTAGTTGGAGCTCAGACCCTGGCAGTCTCAGGCTATGAGTGTTGATTTGTGGCTTGTTTTTATTTTCTTTTTTGGGTCACACCAGGCAATTCAGGGATTACTCCTGGTTTTGCACCCAGGAATTACTCCTGGCAGTGCTTGGGGGACCATATGGGACACTGGGAATAGAACCTGGGTCGGCCGCATGCAAGGTAAACGTCCTACCTGCTGTCCTATTGCTCCAGCCCCATGAGTGTTGATTTGTTCTCACTCTGTGACACAAGACTTCAGTCCCTGAAGGTCTTGTTATTCATGCATTTCAGACCATTTTCTTAAGGAAAGTGAAATTTCTGAGTCAAAGCGTGTGAACACTTGATGACTCCTACGTTTTGCTCAATCATTTTCCCCCAGGGTGGAATTACTCCTCCACCATCAGTGGATGCCAAAGTTGGGGACATCATTTAAACCATCATGGCTCCAGCTAAGTTTTGGGATGACACATTCCCAGTGTGACCTGCAGTTACAGATGTCGCTCCACTCAACCGTCCATCTCCACCTTTGTAGGGTCTGATAATAATAATATTTGCCCTATAATTTTTTCAGGATAAGGTGAAATAATGCACCTCAAGTGTTGGGCAAACACCAGGTATAACAAACGATAAGCAAATCATAGTTGTTGGCTAGTCAGTCAGGAGTGAACCCAGGTATTTGATAGGGCTTAGCCATCTGGCTCATCCTTGGAGACTTCAGGCTGGTCACTGTCCCTCCCTGGGCTTCTGGACCTCCGGCAATTCCTTCCTGGACCCATGAGAATTCCATAGGCGAGGCCCCATGAAATGGCTAAAGGACTCTAACTACAAAGCACTCACACCTGAGGGTAAAATGATCTCTTGGCCCTGTTGTCCCATCTCTGTGCCTCAAGGGCTTTCTCTGCAGTCATTTCTTCCTGCCCAGTGTCCTCGCATAAAAACATAGAAACTTGGAGACATCAGAAGAGAGGTGTCCTTGGGCACCTGGAGGTGGGGGTGTGAGAGTGAGCTCTGTCACCCCAACTCCCAGTGTGACTCCAGAGAACAGTTGCATAAAAACTTTCTGGAAAGGTTTGTGAATCTAATTTCCAGGTGCAACCTAGAGATTCTCATTCAAACCAGGTGAAGTAATCCTAGGAATCTGGATTCTCACAAAGGTTTTGAATCAAATAATTCAGCTAAACAGTCTGGCTTAATAATATTTGGAGAAGTAGGACTGAAGCAATAGTACAGTGGGTAAGAGGTTTGCTTTGCACTTGGCTGGCCTGATTTCCACCTCCAGCATCCCATATGGTCCCTGAGCAGTCAGGAGTGATTCCTGAGTGCAGAGCCAGGAGTAACCCCTGAGCATTGCTGGGTGTGGCCCAAAAATAAACAAATAAACAAATAAAAGAATCTCACCAGCTCTGTCTTTAATAATAATAATAATAATAATAATAATACTTGGATCAGGACCCAGGAATGCAGCTTACTAGTACAGTGTCCTCCTTACATGCTTTGCTTTGTTTTGATTAATGTTTGGGGGCTATATCTGGCAGTGCTCTGGAGTTACTCCTGGGCGTCCTTGTAGGGGTGCTCAAGAAATCATGTGGTGCCAGGGATGAAACTGAGATTGGCCTCATGCATGGCAAATGCCTTCGTTACCCACTATACTATTTCTCTGGCCAGTGCCTTTCATGCTTGAGGCCGTGAGTTCAATCCCCAGCCCACATTGGGTGGGCATGATCTTAGCAAGTCAGTGTGATCCCAAGTGCACCAGGACCAACGAGGTTGCATGCACCACAAATTGGTGTAAGAACCATACAACCAAGTGTGTAACCCGCACCCCCACCCCCACCCACCCCAGTAAACACCACAACCAGGTGTGTGACTCCTGGGCCCAACAACAACAAAGGGAAGGAGAGAGGGGAAGTAATACTGAGATCAGATTTGCTTTCTGTTGCCTGTAGATGAGCCCAGGGGACAGGGCACAGAACAACATAAGATATGAGACCCTTGGTAAGGGGGTGGGAAAGCAGGGTGAGTGCCTAGGACAAGGAGCACCAACTGGGCTCACTTCAGGAGCAAATATACTAAAACTGGAAGGATACAGAGATTAGCGTGGCCCTTGCACAAGGATGACACGCAAATTCAGGAAGCATTCCAGATTTTTCATAGAATGACTGCACTCATTCATGGAATATAAAATAACATAATATGAGACAGACACCCCAGGACAGTAGAGACAAGGGCCAGGAAGATTGTTCCATAGTTGGAAGCCTGCCTCATGAGCTGTGGGAGAAGGCAGCTGGGATAGAGAAAGGATCAGTAAGTCAATGATGGTTAGAGGGATCGCTTGGGATGGGAGATGTGTGCTGAAAGTAGATAAAAGACCAAACGTGATGGCCTCTCAGTATCTGTATTGCAAACTGTAATGCCCAAAAGTAGACAGTATGGGGGAAATTGTATGCCATAGAGGCAGAGGGAGGGTTGGAATGGGTGGGAGAGAATACTGGGGACATTGGTGGTGGAAGCTGTGCACTGGTGGAGGGACGGGTGTTTAATCCTAGTATGACTGAAACTCAAACATGAAAGCTTTGTAACTGTATCTCATGGCGATTCAATCAAAACAATTTTTAAAAAGCACCCATTGAAAACAGCTAAATCCAACCTAGTCTAGTTTATATCTATTCCAACAGCAAGTTAGATGTAGGAATGCTTGTTACACATATGTGAATGTATGCTTGGCATGGATACAGTATGGCCTGTGTCTAACTACTTACATGGTTATGTTAGACATATACAAGCGTGCCTTTAACTCTTCAATTTCTACATATTCTATTGTTTTGTTCTTTTGGGTATTTTCCTTGAGTCGGGGTGGGGTAGGCCACATCCAGCTGTGCTCAGGTTAACTCCTGAATCTGTTGCTCAGGGATCACCCCTGGCAGTCCTTGAGGAACCAAGTGCAGTGCTGGGAATGGAACCCAGTCAGTCGAATGCAAGGCCAGCAGACCACCTGCTGAGCTGTTTTGCCAACCCCATTGCATGTTGCTATGTAAAGGTAAAGGTAAAGGCCCTCCCGTTGATCGTCGATTTGCTCGAGCGGGCCCAGTAACGTCTCCGTTGGAGACTTTGTTGTTACTGTGTCTGGCATATCGAATTTCTCATGTGTGCATAAATCTGCATGTATGAGGCTCTAGGTTTGACCCCCAGCACCAAAACCAATTTGCATGCCCCTAAATCCATGTAAGTGTATATATGCAGAAGTATGTGTGCATGACTTCTTGCCAGAAATATGGTGTGCAGGTGTTAGCAATACACACAAAAAAGGCATGGTCATATTGATTACAAACAAGCAGAAATCAAAAGAAACAATTTATAGACATCTGACAAGTTAGATGACACAAAGAGAATGCGTTTGAATGACTTAAAATCACTCTCATGCACCTACATACACAGCTTTGAAACCTTAACAAGAAAGGGGAAAAAACAACATAGAAAAAGTGGCAAATCACAATTGCCATGAGAAGTCTGGCTGTTTCTGGGGGTGGGTGCATGGTCACCGGGCCAGGGTTGCTCGGGTGGCCAGGTGAACTTTCCCCTCTCTTCCTAGGGAAGTTGCACGTCAAGAATCCTCTGGTGGCTACTAAATATGGGATCCTCCAAGGAAAGCAGGTGCATGTCCGGAAGACGCCCATCAATGTCTTCCTGGGAATCCCCTTCGCCAAGCCTCCTGTGGGCGCCCGCAGGTTTGCTGCCCCTGAGCCGCCAGAGCCATGGGAAGGAATCAGAGCTGCCACCAGCCACGGCCCTTCGTAAGACCCCACAGCCTGGAAGAGGGCAGACCCTAAGTGGGAGGTGGATGATAGCTCACCTCGGGGCTAGGGTTTAAACAGAGCATGGAAAAGAACACAGCAGGGGATCACAGGCTCTAGCCTGTGTTTCCAAAGCTATAGGACATGGTGATTGGTTCAGTGGGGCTAAAGGCACTGATAATGTTCTCAGTGCTTTCCTTTTTTCCTTCCTTCCTTCCTTACTTCCTTCCTTCCGTCCTTCCCTCCCTCTTCCCTTCTTTCACATTCTTTTATTTTCCCTCCTTTCTTTTTCTCTCTTTCTCTTTCTTTCTTTCTTCCTTTCTTTCTTTCTTTCTTCCTTTCTTCCTTCCTTTCCCTCTCTCTTTTGTTTTGGTTTTAGGGTCACATCCTGAAGTGCTCAAAACTTACTCCAGGCTCTGTGCTCAGGGATCACTCCTGCCAGTGCTTAGGGGACCAGATATGGTGCCAAGGATAGAACCTGGGTCGGCTATAAGCAAGATAAGCACTTAACTGCTATATTATCTCTCTAGCTCATGGTTCTCTTAAGGGAACCTTAAGACAACCTTAGTCTTAGTCTCAGATGCCTCCAGTATCTGAGAAGCCAGAAGCACGTGAGAAGCAATGCTCACATACACACAACATGAAAAAAATAAATACATATATACATAGCACAGCGGGTAGGGCGTTCGCCTTACAAGCGGCCAACATGGCCGACCCGAGTTCGATTCCTCCGCCCCTCTCGGAGAGCCCGGCAAGCTACCGAGAGTATTCGATATGCCAGACACAGTAACAACAAAGTCTCCAATGGAGACGTTACTGGGCCCGCTCGAGCAAATCGACGATCAACGGGAGGGCCTTTACCTTTACCTTTACCTTACTCACACACTGAGCCCCGATCTCTTCCTTCTCCCTTGGATCTTGAGTCCAAGAGCAAAGCCACCCCAGGACCTCCATAGGAGATGAGCCCACTTTCCATTTGAATGTCCTCATGATTGCAAGTCCTGAGTCATCTGAAGTTCTGGGACAGGGGCTGCTCTCCAGGCATCGGGCTTGGCAGTCTACCCAAAATAAGTGTGTTCATTCAAGTGTGTTTATTCAGGCCATTGAGTAACCCACTGTCCAGAACATTCTGTGATAAGTACTAGCAATGTTTAATGTCAGATAAAGTATGGATTTATGAAAATGTCTGTTGTGAAAACTTGGGTATCAGGTGACATAAGAAATGACAGCCAGTAGCCCTGGTGTCTAGTCATTAGCAGCAGAGTATCTGATTTAGAAGAGGAATGATTGTAACTGGAATACCATGGGGGTTACTTAGCAAGCTGACCACAGGGGGACAAGCCTAGGGATTCAGAACACTGTGTGAATGCCATGAGGAACCAATGATTCAGGTGGGCCTAACAAGGGAGTATCCCTGCTAGAGCCCTTGGGATTATGGGTTTAGAGACTGGGGTTACCACTGCATGGGCATCTGGGTGTCTGACAGTTGGCATCAGCTATCAGACAAGGGCTGTTTGGAATACACAGTGCAGGTGTAAGAATTGTGATGGGGACACTGGAGATAGAGTGCAGTGGGCAGGGCTCTTGCCATGAATGTGGCCACCCTGGGTTTGATGCAGCATCCCATATGGTTTTCCAAGCCCTTCCAGGAGTGATCCCTAAGTACAGAACTAAGAACAAGCCCTAAGTACTACCAGTGTGGATGTAAAAACATAACTGTGGATGAATTAGAAGGAGAATGGGGGGGGGGGGTGAATGTAAGGAGGGAACAGGGAGACAGGAAGCAATTAGAGAGAGAGTGGCTTCAACAGCAGTCATTTCACTGAAAGTGGTAAGGATAGTAATATTCAAGATTTATTGGAGGTGGGGAGACTATTATGCTTAGGGATTTGAACCACTGTTGCAGCTCTAGTCACATACCAGGTGATGTCTCTCTGGCCTTCCAGGTTTATTTTAAAGGGACAATTGGAAGGATTTGTTGAAAAACAAAGTGAAAGTCATGAGGGAAGTCATCAAAGACAATGACTAATTTGGGCCAGAGCAGCAAGGGAAACGGGCTTATTTACCAAATGAAGAAGCTGGGAACACCATAATGGGTGTAGTCCCAGAGCACTACTGGATAGGACAAAAAACAAAACCTAGAATGTGCTAGGCACAGGGGCCAGAGCCATAGTATAGCAGGTAGGTGCTTGCCTTGCACATAGCTGACAGGGGCTCAAACCCCAGCATTTGACTCCCCTGGCACTGTCAGGAATGATCCATGAGCACAGAGCTAGAAGTAAGCCCTGAGCACTCCCAGATGTGCTCCCCTCTCCCAAAAAAGAATGTGTTTGGTACAGGCCACACTGGGGTCACCCCTATCCCAACTCCAGATGCGCAATTTCTCCTTTACTTTCCAGCCTTTCATCCTGGGTTTGCCCGTGTTCTTCTTTAGGGCATCATTTAATTGCTTTTTGACTTTCTCTTTCTGGATGAATCTACATGAATTTCTTTCCTTTGGGTCTTTCTCTTTTCATTTTCCTTGGAATTAGTAGCTTCTCTCCATAAAACTATTTTACTATGCAAATGCACACATATGCATATATGCACAAGCGCACACGCGCGCGCGCGCACACACACACACATGCATGCACGCACGCACACTGAAGGATGGGACAAGAAAACAGAGGAAGAAACATGCAGACAGGGCTTCCTGTTCTGTGAAATGGGCTCAGCCCCAGTGGTTGTGAAAACCACATAGGGCTAAACTGACGGGGAGAAAAGGCAGGGTGACCTGCCAGCAAATACTGAGTTCACTCCAGGCCTCCAGGGACTTGTCCAGTGGCCAGAATTCAAAGCACTTGGCAATCCTCCATCTCTGCCCCTGGGAAATTATATACATGTCCTCTTGTGGGAAGAAACACAAAATAACTACTAGTGGGACGGAGTAATAATACAGCAGGTAAGTTGTTTGCCTTGCATGCAGCCGACTCAGGTTCAATTCCCATAATACCATATGGTCCCCCAAGCACTGCCAGGAATAATTCCTGAGTGCAGAGCCAGGAGTGACCCCCTGAGCATTACCAAGTTTGACCCAAAAAATAAAATAACAATGAATAATAATAATAGTAATAACTCTGATAGGGGGCTAGAGCAATGGTATAGTGAGTAGGGCATTTGCCTTGCATGTGACCAACCAGGGTTTGAAAATCCTCAGCACCCATATGGTTCCCTGAGTGCAGAGCCTGGAGTAAGCTCTGAGCACTGCCAGGTTTGGTCCTAAAACAAAACAAAAAATAACTATGATCCAGCACTTTAGTTGAGGTGGATGGAGCTTTGAGACGTTTCAGCAGAGAGGGTGCCACTTGAACTAGTCCGTAAACAGGAGCAAGTGTTTCCCAGGCAGAGAAGGCATTTGGCCAAAAAGGACATGGGCTTGGAGGAGGGAGGTTTGGAGGAATAACGGATGCAAAGAGGGTAACCCCTCCTCCCATCACTTGGATGAGTGGAGCTTTTGCCTGAGGGGGAGTCAGTGTGGGATTTGTACTTGCTACCCCTCCACTTAGGAAGAGTATGAGGGACTTGATAGGTATGAAGTGGCAGGGAAGTTGCCTGGGGGAGGACTCAGAGGACCCTGGAACGTGTGAGGGTGAGGGGGGGACTCTCCCTGAGCCCATTAGGAGGCAGATGAGAAACTGAAGGGACAGCCATGGCATGAGAGTCGGCACCCCACTCTTTGACTCGAAACCAATTGGATCTCCAGAATTTCTTGCAGAGAGGAGGAGGGCACCTGACCTGGAGACCCAGGAGGCAGGATGCCAAGCTGCATCTACACCCTGGACCCTCACACTAGCAGAGGACACCCAACAGGGACACACACACACACACACACACACACACAACCTGGATTTTCCTGTGGGTTCTATTCCCTCCCTAAGGAATCATTCCCCTCGTTTCGACCCCGTACCCCAAACTGGGCCCCAACTCATACTGTGCTCGCAGGTGCCTTCAGGAGCCCTGGGGACAATTGAATTCCATATACCTCCACACGGGCAAACACTACACGTGGATGCACTTCAGCGAGGACTGCCTGTACCTGAACGTGTACGGGCCGGCGCGCGCGCCCGGGGATCCCCTTCTGCCGGTGGGTGCTCTCACAATCTTCAACCCTGCGCCCCCCACATTAAGCCACCACACCGCCCAGCTCCAACCTCAGCCTTCCCTGCCAGGTGATGGTTTGGATCCCAGGAGGCGCCTTCCTCGTGGGCTCCGCTTCCACGTACGATGGCTCGGAGCTGGCAGCCCGCGAGAAAGTGGTACTGGTGGTTCTGCAGCACAGAGTAGGCATCCTGGGATTCCTAAGGTGCACACCTGGGTTCCGGAACGCGGCCTAGAGGGGAGGGGAGGGGCCTAGATGGGCGGGTGGGCGTGGTCTCTGGCGGAGGGCGGGGCCTGGTGAGGAAAGTCCGGCTCAGTACCCACCGCCTCGGTGGCGCGCGGCCCCTTTTCACTTTACATGATGCGTTTGCAGACCCGGGTGTCTGACTCGGACTAGGCGGGGCGAGGCGGGGTTCGGAGGAGCCCCCGCAGGATCCCTTAGTACCCAGGTGTCTCGGCTCCGGACCCTGACCTTGAGCTTCGCACGCTCAGCACCGGCGACAGCCATGCCCGGGGGAACTGGGGGCTGCTGGACCAGATTTTGGCTCTGAGCTGGGTGCAGAAGAACATCAGAGCCTTCGGCGGAGACCCAGGCCTCGTGACCCTCTTTGGTCAGTCTTCTGGGGCTGCATGCGTCTCGGGACTGGTGAGTGGGGTACCCAGAACGGCCCTGCACAGTCGCCAAACCCGCATGCTCTGACCGAGGCCGGGAACACACGGGATTCCAGTCCTGCGGACCTGCCCTCACCCCTGCCAGGGGAAGCGCCTCCCCTTGGCCACACACACACACACACACACACACACACACACACACACACACACACACACACACGCAGCTCCAGCCCCTAAACAGTCCTCGGATTTGGCTGCACTGGAGCCGCAAACCGAGTCTAGAAGGCAAGGGTTGGAGTGGAAGCTGCGCTCAGACACAGGCCCAGAGTTCAAACACCTGAGCTCCTGGTGTCAGGAAGCTCTTCTTGGTCTACTCACTCATTTAACATCCTCAGAAATCAGAAGGGGGAAAGAATTCTCTCCATATAGTCTACAAAAAGTTTTTTCTAGGTAAAGAAAATGAGACCCAGAGAAGTAAACAACTTTCCACTCGCTGGTGCTCAGGGTTTACTCCTGACTCTGACTCAGGAATCACTCCTGGTGATGCTTAGGGTCCATATGAGGTGTTGGGGATCAAACCCAGCTTGGCAGTGTGGAAGGCAAGCAGCTTACCCACTGTACTGTCGTTCAACCTCCAGAAACAAACAACTTTATCTGAGATGCAGTGAAAGATTTTGAGCAGGGGAGTCACATGTCAGATGTTTATTTTAAGTTGGCTCTGTCTGCATGACTGGGTTGGATCAAATCAATAGAGGCTGGGAGACCAGCTCCTTGGAGGGGATTCCTTCTCACAGGAGAGCACAAGGACTGGTTCTAAAATAGGGGCAGAGAAGATGAAGGTTAACGGATGGTTGCAGAGTGAGGCAAGAGGCCAGTGGACAGGATTGGGGTCACAGGGTATTGGATGAGCAGAAGAGACAGGGAGAGCCCTGGGATGAGAGAACTTTGGGGAGTAAGAGACAACACACAGATGGGGATTGACTGCAGCAACTTTGAGATAGATGAAGCCTGAGGTGTCCAAGGGGCAACATGAGAAAACTCAGATAGAGATGTTTCCTGACATGGGCAGCCGGAAAGGCTAAGAGCAGTCAGAGGAAATAACTGGGGAAGAAGCATAACCAGGGCCACAGTCAGGGCTAGGGGGATAGTCAAAGGGCCAGAACACATGCCTGACATACAGTGTCCTATGTCCAATTTCTAGAACCAGCTGGCCTCCTGAGCACCAGGTATGACCCTGGTGGCTCGAGCACCACTGGGGAAGTTACAAAAAAAAGAAGAAGAAGAAGAAAGTGAAGAGGAGGAGGAGGAGAAGGAAGAGGAGGAGGAGGAGGAGTAGGAAAAGGAGAGAAGGAGGTGGAGGAAGAGGAGGAGGAAAAGGAGGAGGAGGAGGAGAAGGAGAAGGAGGAGGAGAAGGAGAGGGAGAGGGAGAAGAGGAGGAGGAGGAGGAGGAGGAGGAGGAGGAGGAAGAGGTGGAGGAGGAGGAGGAGGAGGAAGAGGAAGAAGAAGAGGAAGAAGAAGAAAAAGAAGAAGAAGAAGAAGAAGAAGAAGAAGAAGAAGAAGAAGAAGAAGAAGAAGAAGAAGAAGAAGAAGAAGCTGGTGTTGCATGCCGCCAACCCGGGTTTGATCCTCGGTACTGCATATAGTCCCCTCAGTACCGACAGGGATCACCCCCTGAGCATAGAGCCAGGAATAGCCCTAAGCACTGGTGGGCATGTAGCCTGTCCCCCAACCAAAAAGAGGAAAACAGTAGAGTTCCCCAATTTCCAGTCTAGTAGCTGATTCCTTCTGTTTACTAGTAGAACCCCTTACACAAGCTCATATCACCCCTAGAATTCCTGGAGCTACTGTCTAGATCAGGATTTGGGGGTTCGAAGGTAGGATGGCACCAATTCTAGGTCAAGGATGCCAACACATGGCCCAGAAAGGTAGTATAGTGTGTAGGGCACTTATTTTGCAGAGGGCTGACCTGGGTTTGATCCTTGGAATCCCATATGATCCCCTGAGCACTGCCAGGGGTGACTCCTGAGTGAAGAGCCAGGAGTAAGCCCTGAGCATTGCCAAGTGTGACCCCAAAACTGGAAAAAAAGATGCCAACTGCTAGACTGGCCCCCACCTCTGTTGTTCATGCATGCCATGCTTGCCTCCTTGTAGATGCTGTCCCCCCTAGCCCGGGGTCTCTTCCACCGGGCCATTTCACAGAGTGGCACTGCACTCTTCAGCCTCTTCATCACTCCTGACCCGCTCCAAGTGGCCAAGGTGGGTGTCTTCTCTCATGGAGGGCACAGCATGCAAGGATCCAAGGGCTGTTCCCCACATGGAGTTCCCCTTCTCTCCATAGAAAATTGCTCACCAGGCAGGCTGCCAACACAACAGCACACGGAGTCTGGTGGACTGCCTGCGGGCACTACCGGCATCTGAGCTCATGCGCGTGTCCAGGAAGATGGTAGGGAGCCCCACCTCTAAGCACCTTGGTATGGCCCCCCATTCCTGCCCACCCCCACCACCCCAGGAACTCTGTCTCAGAGTACACTGGGCTTTTAACTTGAGATAACTTGGGTTTAACTCAGGGCACACTGCTTTTTAACTCGAATCCCCTCTTTCCCCTATAGAAATTCTTCCACCTCAACTCCCAGAAGGACCCTCAGGAGGTGAGCAGACCCCATTTGGGAATGCTAGTATTTGCTGGACAACTGCAGTAGATAGGCACTCAGGCTAACCCCAAGGCCAAGATCCCTTCCCAAGCTGGGCTGGAGCTGTGGAGAGAAGAGATAATAAACACTATAACCAAATAGTTCGCCAGCTTAGAAGTTCATCAGCAAACAACACTGGGTGGAGCAGAGGAAGATCTGGGTGATTGGAGGAGGCAGGTGGTGGAGAGGGACGGGGTCGAAATAGAAGGGTCAGAAGCAGAGATGGGACCAGGCACTTGCCTTGCACAAGGCCAACCCCAGTTCAACACTCAGCAACACATAGGGTCTCCTGAGCTCTGCAGGAGTGATCCATGAGCACCACTGGGAGTGACCCAACTTCCCCCCAAACGATAAATAAATTGAAACAGAGAAGCCTTCATGGGGAAGGGAGTGAGCTGTGTAGATACTTGCAGGGAGCCCCCCAAATGCAAGTAGCCTGGTCCTGCCTACGGTCACCGAGTTCCAGACTTTTCCTGCTCAAGAGGCTCAGAGCTAGCTCAGTCCCTAGGCACCCTAAGCTTTAGGGGGGATGGAGAACCACCTGGAAACGTCCCTCCCCATGTAGATGGTATGGTTCCTGAGCTCCGTAGTGGACGGCGTGGTATTCCCAGACAACCCCATGGTCTCCCTGAGCCGGGGCCAGGTCGCACCTGTGCCATACCTTCTGGGCATCAACAGCTTGGAGTTCAACTGGGCCCTGCCCGCCGTAAGTGCAAAGGAGGGGTGCTCGCCACAGTGGGGTAGCAAAGGATGTCCATGGGGGAATGCTGGGCCCCAGGACAGATCCCAATGTTTGGAGCCTCCTTCCCTGTAGTGAGGTCCAGCCAGAAATTTGGGGTGGATACAAAGAGGTTTGGGGCCCCCACTCTTCAGATCATAGATTGTCAAGGCCGGCAAGAACATTCCTGATCCTCAAGGCAGCTGTAAATGATAGCGTCCTCCCTCGTTTCTGGGTGGGGGCAGATGTCCCCGTTCTTGAGGGTCCCTCCCAGCCCCACTTCAGCTCAGAGGGCTAGTGAGGAATTCAGCGGAATCAGGCAATGTTCATAGGCCCTCCCTGGGCTGGGCACTGCCTGTTTTGATGGGTGAGAACCTTCGGAGTTGGCACAACCTTGGCTGGAATTGCCTGAGCCTGGCCCACACCTCAGCTCTCGTCTCTTGGGCAGCTCCTGAAGATCTCAATGAACCGCCACTCAATGAGAAAGGAGGCCATCACCAAGATGCTCTGGAGAACCAGCACCCTGATGGTGAGGGGTCAGGCCAGCTGGCTGCTTGGTTGGGTTGGACAAAGCTAGTCACCAGACTCCGCCTTTTGTTTTTCTACTTAGTAGCCTTGTCCTTCACAAAGCACTTCCAGGTGGGATCAAGGCCCTCCTTGGAGGACCAGCATTTGGCCAGGGGACAGGGTGAGGAGGTGGCTCACAGGGCTGGAATGCATACTTCGCACATGGAAGCTATGGGTTCACCCCTGGCACTTCCTAGTTCCCTGAGCACCACCGGGAGTGGCCCCAAACAAAATAAAACAACATGGGTAAAATCAGCAGCAAAGAGGGAGAGTGTCCCAAGAAGCAACCCTTTATCCTTTGTCCTTTGTCCCTCTCCCACGGCAAACCCTTGGTGGGGGAGCTGAGCCTGAGCCCAGGTCCTTGGGTGCCTAATTCTAGCCTGGCTAGCACCCCAGACCTCAGCATGGTTCTTAGCTAGCTCCCCCGCCCAGAATATCACTAAGGAGCAGTTGCCACTCGTGGTGGAGGAGTACCTGGGCCAGATCGACGACCAAGACTGGAAGATGGTACGGAATCAAGTGATAGAGCTGGTTGGGGACGCGACCTTTTTGTATTCCACGCTGCGGGCTGCTCGCTACCACCGCGGTATGTAGGGTCGCCGGATGGCCACACCTCATTCTCTCCTGCTCTTTATTCACCTGCCCTCCATACCCCTGAGCAGGCATAGGATTCCAAAATGCTACCAAAGAGGCTCCTGCGAAAACATCCAAAAGGTGTCTTAGGGTTGACCATTCAGGCCAGAGTAGATCAACCACGGGAGATCACGTGGCAGGGAGGACCAATTGAGGGGCACTTGGGGATCCTGCCAGGTGAGGGAGAGCTGTGGAAACAGATGCAACTGAAAGGGGTCACGCTGAAGAACCTCAGATGCCAAGCCAGGAGAGGGCAGGTGCAGAAGAGTGGAGAGGAAGCTGGCCGTCAGACCCCCATCGGAGAACTCCGCCCCCTCTGTCTGCAGACGAGGAGCAACAGCTCAGGGAGGCAGCCCGGGCTCAGGAGGAAAGAGATGAGTGAAAGGGCTCCCTTGACTCTGCAGCCCAGGCGCTTTCCCCAGTGCTGGGATTCCTGGGCTGGATGAGATGCCAAGGAGATTCCCCGTAATTTAGTCAGTCCCCCTGTTCACAGACGCCGGCTTCCCTGTCTACCTATATGAGTTTCGGCACCGGGCTCCTGACTTCTTCATTCCCAAACCGCGCATGGACGGGGCTGACCACGGGGACGAGATCCACTTCGTCTTTGGGAGTCCTTTCTCCAAAGGTACTGAACCCGCCCCCCCCCCCCCGCAACCCCCCCACGCCATTCCCCCTTCCACTCACTGAGCACCAGCCACTCCCGATTACGGGCTGCTGCTCTCTGCTCTCCGGAAGGACAGCCCCAGCCTGGAGGCCAGGGTTTTCTGGGGGGTCCGCACCCCTTCTCCCTTTCAGAAGCCCCATCTCACTCTGCCCCCAGGCCATTCCACTGGTGAGGAGAGATTGCTGAGCCTCCGGATGATGAAATACTGGGCCAACTTTGCCCGCACAGGGTAAGCACGCCCCTCAGCCCAGCCAGTCAGGGCTCCAACAGAGCTCGGTCCAGTGACCAGTTGCTTCAGTTGTCCCTGCCTGTTCAAAGGGGTGTCACCATCCGACTAGGCTGAAGGCGCCTTCCTGTTTTTGCTTTTGGGCCACACCTGGCAGTGCTCAGAGTTTAATTTCTGGCTCTGTGCCCAGGGATTGCTCCTGGCTGGCTCAGGGGAACCATATGGAATGCCAGGGATCAAAGGCAAGACAAGCCCCCTGCACTCTATGATCTCTCTGGCCCTTTGAAGGTCTCTTCTTCCTCCCCCTTTCTCCCATCAGTCGGCAGATCCATAATGATCCTAGATTGTCTTCCTCCTTGTCCCTGGGCACATCCTTCCTTCACTCAAGCATCACAGTGCATTACTACTGCTGTCTTCTGCTTCCAATACTGGGAGTTGGAATTCTGAGATATCATAGACATGGCCCTCCATCCTCTAGCAGCTCCGTCATGCTTAACAAAAACATGAAATTTTTTAGTGTTTTAAAACATTATCTCTGTGGAGGGTGGGGGAGGAGGGCTGAGAGATAGCACAGGAGATGAGGCTTTTGCCTTGCTTATGGCTGACCGATGTCTTGCACCACATATGGTTCCCCAAACAACACCAGTGGTCCCTCCTCACCACTGCCAGGTGTGGCCCAATCCCTGTTCCCCCACCTTAACCCCACAGGAGAAAACAAAACACTGAATGACAATCTGGTATATCTCCGGTTTGGGGGTGGGGGTAGCAAGGCACTGTGAACATGCTGAGGAAGCACAGGAAGGCTGGACATTTGAGCTGGCTTTGGTGAGCCAGTGGCTCATTCCCTACATCCAAATTCTCTCTCCTTTCTAATCATCCTCCTAGTGACGCCCAAGAGGTTAATTCTGAAATGTCATCTGACCAAGTCATCTACTTAAAACTCCTTAAAAAAAAAAAACTACAAAAATGGGGCTGGAGCGATAGTACAGTGAGTAGGCCTTTTGCCTTGCACGCGGCCGATCTGGTTTGATTCCCAGCATCCCATAGGGTCCCCCGAGCACCGCCAGGAGTAATTCCTGAGTGCATGAGCCAGGAGTAATCCATGTGCATTGCTGGCATTGCTGGCTGTGACCCAAGAAGCAAAAGAAAAAAAAAACACAAAAAAAAACCTCTATTTTTGCGGGGCAGGGGGATAGGGGGGTGGTAGGAAACACCTGGTGGTGCTCGAGGCCCACTCCAAGTGGTGTTCAGTGGGAACATGTGGTGTCTGGAATCAAACCCGAGCTCCTACAGCAAAGTATGTGCTCCAGCCCTTTGCGCCATCTCTCCAGCCCCTGCTGAAAACTTTTTTTTCTTTTCTTTTTTTTTTTTTTTTTTTTGCTTTTTGAGTCACACCTGGCAATGCACAGGAAATACTCCTGGCTCTGCACTCAGGAATTACCCCTGCTGGTGCTCAGGGAACCATATGGGATGCTGGGAATCAAACCCAGGTCAGCCACGTGCAAGGCAAACGCCCTACCCACTGTGCTATCACTCCAGCACCCCTGCTTAAAATTCTTCATAGTTTCCCTTTTTCCCTATACCCCCAGTATAAAGTCCCAATTCCTTAACCTAACACAAAAATCTTCAAAATTTCTCTTGTGCCATTTCCTCCCCATACCTAGCCTTTTTGTATTTTTTTTTTTTTTGGTGAAACCTATATGAAAGCTTTTCTCCAAGCCTGATCCTGACCTGATCTCTCTCTCTCTCTCTCTCTCTCTCTCTCTCTCTCTCTCTCTCTCTCTCTCTCTCTCTCTCTCCCTCTTATTGGGTCACACTCAGTGGTATTTTTAGACTGCTCCTGTGTGGAGCCAAGGGTAGAATCTGGCCTCCAGAACTCAAACATACTCTCAGCCCTTGAGTTACCTCTCCAGCCCCACAATTCTAACTCTGGACTTGGTATTCCCTCTGCCCGGAAGACCCTGCCCATCACATACTTCCCTGCTCTTTCCTAAGAATCTGTGTAAATATGCCTGTAGAGTCCTTGGGCCCCATCCCCAAGGGAAGGGGAGTGAGGGGAGGTAAGGGATCAAGAGACAGGGTAGAGAGCTGTGTGAACCATCCTCTTCCTCCTTCCCTGGGGCAGAAATCCCAATGGTGAGAAGCTGCCCTGCTGGCCCCGCTACAACCAGGATGAGAAGTACCTGCAGCTGGATTTCACCGTGAGCGTGGGCGTGAAGCTCAAGGAGGAGAAGATGGCCTTTTGGTCGAGACTGCGCCAGGCTGAGGGCCCAAGAAGTAGAAGCATCCCTGAGGATGACAATGCAGGGGCCTAAGGGGATGTCCCACTACCCTGGCCTCAAGGACACTGGCCCTAGATACATCTGGGACAAGGGTCCTACCCTCCCAAATTTAGGATTGACCAAAGGCTCCCTATTACCTCTGGAACCAGAGCCCAGATTTTGTTTTTTGGTTGTTGTTCTTTTTTTTCTTTCTTGTTTTGGGTTTTTTTGGTTTTTATTCTTTGCTTTTTGTGTCGCACCCAGCGATGCACAGGGGATACTCCTGGCTCTGCACTCAGGAATCATTCCTGGCTGTGCTCGGGAGACCATATGGGATGCTGAGGATCAAACCCGGGTTGGCCACGTGCAAGGCAAATGCCCTACCAGCTGTGCTATCATTCCAGCCCCTTGTTTGGGTATTTTTTTTGCTTGTTTGCTTGTTTGTGAGACCACACTCAACTGTGACCAGGACTTACTCCTGCCTCTGTACTCAGGGATCACTTCTGGGAGGCTCAGGGAACCATCTGGGGTGCCAGGGATCGAGCCTTAGCCGGCCCCATGCAAGGCAAGAACCCTCCCTCCTGTACAATCGCTCAGGCCCCCAGAACCTCATGCTTAACCTGTTTTTTATGGCTTTGTTCCACCCTCTTCAGCCTGATGTCCCCTGATGCCCATTAGTCCCTTGACTCCATCATCTTGGTTCTTTTCACTGCCGCACTATGTCCAACTATGTTTCTCTCGCTCTTCCTGATCCAGGCAATGAGGTTCAGAAGTAGAGTACTGGCCTTGCATAGGTGAGGCCCTGGTACAGTCCTCATCCATCCATAGGACAATGATAACAACAACAAAAACAAAACACCCTACCAGATCCTCCTCCCCTTCAAAGTCTACTCAAGTCGCCTCTTCTGGAAATGCGCCCAGAGTGAAGTACCCCTGGCATTTACGATTCATCCTGCTCAAGCTTATGCCTGTTTACATTGGCTGAGACCCTGGGAGTGTGATTTATAAGCTAGAGTGAAGCACTGATAACTTGGGACCTTCCCTTTCTATACTCCTCTCTGGAGGGCCCCTGCAAAACCTAGTGGTCTTCAGTAAAAACGTGGATATGGAGTTGGAGAAACAACAGGCTAAGCTCATGCTTTGCATGTAGGAGGACTGAGTTCAAACCCCAGCACAAAGAGTAAGCCCCCAAGCACCGCCACCAAGTGTGGCCCCTCCAGAAACAAAGCACCAACACATGAACTTGACCTGAATTTCTCCATCTGCCAAACATTGGGTGAAGGGCCTAGTGTCTGCATTTGAGCCGTAGAAGGGAATGTTGCCACACATCCAGGAGCTGCAGCCAAGATGCCTGGGCTACAACAATGTCTGACTGTCATCCTTGTCTTTCTTCATTTGCTTGTTTTTGTTTGGGGGCCACACCCAGCAGTGCTCTGCACTCAGGAATTACCCCGTGCTGGGTTGTTCAGGCTGGAGAAGGGACGTACCTGAGCTGTCAGAAGGTGCCCCAGGATCTCTTCTCATGCCACTTGTCTGATGTGATGACACCCCCCACCCTGCCCCCACCAAGGATCTGGAAGGGGTCACCTGGAAAGGTGTGGAGGGAGTACAAATGAGCTAGTATGGGGGAAGGATCAGGAGAATCTGGAGGGGAGTGGAGGTAGATGAAGGGGAAGCCAGATCAGAGGGTGTAGTCAGCAGGCAGGCTCGGAGCAGGAAGTGGCCTCGTCCAGTCAGCAGCTCTGTGTGGAGACGAACCCAGGGCTGAAATGCCAGGATGGGGGCATAGGCAGAGTCTGTGTCTCTGGAGACATTCCTCCTCTCACCTTGTGCCCAGCGGTGCTCAGGGGTCACTCTTCCCAAGGATTGGAGGACCAGATGCAGTGCCTGGCATTGAATCTAGGTGAGTAGCTGTGTGTAAAGCAAGTGCCTTCCCTCCTGTATTATCTCTCTGCCCCCCCCCCCCCGCGACACACACACACACACACACACACACACACACACACACTTGGAACAACTAATCAAGTCTAAGTCTGCTGTCCATTTGCCTTGCATAGCATTGGTCAGGGTTTAATTTCCGAGCAACCCTAGGAGCGAGCTCTGAGCACAGAACCAGTAGTAGCCCCTGTATCCTGCCAGAGGGGGTCCTGAAACCAAAGGTAAATAAATAAGGTTAAGGCTACTCCAGCACTTGCCTCACATGTGTAAGGCCCTGGGTTCGATTGTGATTCTGGACATTGCATTAAAAAACAAACAAATTAAAAAAAAATCACAAGACTATCTTACCTCCCTCCATTGACCCTCAATCATGTCACGGTAGTCTCATGGCCTCAAGAGGTTGGGTTTGAACCTGTTTGTATGGAGCAAACTGGAAGGAGATGAAGGCAAATTTGAGTCCCGAAAGAACTCAGACGCTGTGACAAAATGGCTTCCCAAAGCCGAAGCCTGCATGCCTATGTCAGACGGATTTAGGAGTGTGTGTGTCCTCAGGCTTGCCTTTCTGGGCTTGGTCCCTGTCTGGGACCTTCTCTGTGGTAGGCCAAGTCCAGCCCCAGGCTCCTGTGACCGCAGTCCAGGCCTCCTGTGTCCTCCAGCCCTTTCTGACACAGGACGAAGAGAGCATGAGGGGACCCTCACCCAGAGGCCCTGGTACTCATAATGACTCTCCGCCTAGAAGGAGTAAGAATCCCTTTGAAGGGGAGCCCGAAGAGGAACAATGAAAGAAAAGCCTTTCAGGAAATTAGCACCAGCAGGGGAATTTATCAAAAGCTGACAGAGGCAGGCAGGCGCCTGCTGCTAATTCATTCCCCTGCCAGAGAAGAAGCATTTCTCACCCTCAGGAAGACCTGGTAGCCTCCTGGACATTCCAATGCCCCCACCACCACCCTTGGCTCCCAAACTCAGTCTCTGTGACTGGAGCTCTGAGCACCTGGGGAGAACTGTTATTGATCGCTGCACTCAGTGGTGCCAGCCACGCTGCTGCAGGCAGGACTGGAGTTTTGTGTTTTGTTTATTTGTTTTGTTTGTTTTGGGGTCACACCTGGTGGTGCTCAGGGCTTACTCCTATTGTGCTGGGGGAATATATGGGGTACCAGGTTTGCCATATTTAAGACAAGTGCCCTACCCACCGTACTATGGCTGTGGGGCGCTCTTTATTTGTTTTTACCTTTGGGGTCACACCAGCACTGGGCTCAGGATCTGTGTTCAGGAGTCACACCCGACAGTGCTGGGGAGGGGTGAGGGTGAGGGCCATGCGGTACTGGGAATAAAATGGGGGTCAGCCACATGCAAAGCAGGCATCCTAACATCTATACTGTCTCACCAGTCATAGGTAAAGAATTATTTTTCAAAGACTGAGGATGCAATCAATTGTACCCAAACCCAGGTTTGGGAGCAGAAAGCTATTGCAGCATACGCCTCTAGGGGGCACCACCTACCTGCATGAGTCCATAGATGTAACCTGAGTTCTGTGCCCTGCCTTCTGAACACACACACACACACACACACACACACACACACACCTTAAAGATTAGTCTGATGGGGCGATTGCTTGATCACCATTTAACAGAAAGCATCCAGAGCTGTTCCAGGCCTCAGGCCAACAAGGTCTTTTGATGCTGAGAAGAGCAGGATCCTGTAAAAGGGCCATGGATGCAGCATCAAGCCCCAGGGGATCCCTCCCAGGCCACACCCTCATCCTGGCACTGCCTCTGTCCCTGACTCAGCTACAGAATGGGCCACACACAGTTAGCCCCAGGAGTCTCTCCCTCTTCCTTGCCCAGGTTCCTCTTTCAGGCCCCTTTTAGCTCATTTTATGGTATTTTGACTAGCCGTGTGTGAACTCAAATTGTTACCCATGCTTTGCTTGGCTGCCAACTTCTACAGCTGGATTTGTATCAAAGTATGCAGTTGGACAAATCCTAGTATTTCAGAGCTGGAGGCGCCCATAAAGATTGTCATAGCCACTGTTCTCTAAGAGCTTATAATTTGGGGCCAGACTAACCCAGTTCCCCTCTGATGTGTCTGCGTGTTTAGTACAGGTATTTCTCTCCCTGTGACACTCTTGATCCACAGCAATTCTGTTTCTATAGCTCCAGGATGAATGGGTAGCAAGTGTGACCTGTTAAAAGTCAACCCCAAATGCTACCAGATGTACCTCACCCCCCAAAAAATCAACTTAACAAGGAGCAGGGGAGATAGCTCAACATGCTAGAGCATGTAGGAGCCCCAGGTTCAATCACCAGCATTGCAGGGTCCTCCAAACTCTGGGAACACCCCCCCCACCCCCCATCCAAGCACAGAGCCAGGAATAATTTCTTAAGCAATGCCAGGTGTGGCCCAAACCCCCTCCACTCGGGGAAAAAAAAACTAAGATAATTCATTTTAAAAATAAACCTAACAGAACCGTATCACACTATAGAGTAAGCTTCTCCACTATATCCCACTGGGTTGGACATGGCTCAGGACAGGTGATGACTCTTGGGAATAATCCCTTGTGTCTGTCTCAGCTTGAGTTTTGTTTTGTTTTGTTTTGCTTTTGCTTTTTGGGTCACACCCGGCGATGCACAGGGGTTACTCCTGGCTCTGCACTCAGGAATCACCCCTGGTGGTGCTCAGGGGACCATATGGGATGCTGGGAATCGAACCTGGGTTGGCCGCATGCAAGGCAAACACCCTACCCGCTGTGCTCCAACCCGTGTTCTTTAAGTTTTGTTTGCACACAATGTTTATTGTGTCCTTAGGATCAAAACCTGTCGATGGGGGTCAAAGAGATAGTACAAGTAAGGGTTAAAATCCTTGCTTGCCTGATTTGATCCCCAGCACCAAATGATCCTCCCCAAGCACCACCAGGTGTGGTACAAACACAAACAAAATACCTGTTGAGAGAAAGAAACAGAACTGGGTCAAACAGAGAGAAACCAAGCTCACTCCGGGCCTAACAACAGCTTCAGCCAATGCTAGAGCCAATGCACTAATGGTGCCCATTATTGCCCTCCTAGACCTTGCAACTCCCACTCTGATCAATGTTTGGAGGTGAGCTTCCAGGAAGGAAG